CAAGACGGGCGGATCACGAGGTCAGGAGATCGAGACCATCCTGGGTAACACAGTGAAACCCCGTCTCTACTAAAAATACAAAAACTTAGCCGGGCGAGGTGGCAGGCGCCTGTAGTCCCAGCTACTCGGGAGGCTGAGGCAGGAGAATGGCGTGAACCCGGGAGGCGGAGCTTGCAGTGAGCTGAGATCCGGCCACTGCACTCCAGCCTGGGTGACAGAGCGAGACTCCGTCTCAAAAAAAAAAAAAAAAAAAAAAAAAAAAAAAAAGTTAAGGGAAGTTGCTCAAGTGATTCTTTATATAATAAAATCTGCTCCAAGTGGACTTGCTGCCCCCAGCACTAGACATGGAAGAGACTGGCATAATCCTTAAGCTCTGCCTCTTTCGGTCCTCTGCAACAGATGTATACCACTAGCAGCAGCAGTGGGTCCATGTATTGGGAGGGAAAGAAAGCCCAGACTGTGAAGTTCACATCCTGTAGGATGGGGAACTGGGTGATTGCTGCCAGTTCTGCATTCCTAATTCCCACCTAAATAAGTCCCCTTTATCGCTCATGATACCTGGGTTATGGAGGACCTAACTCAGTCAAAGCGTGTGTAGCCAAATCTAAAGCTCCAGTCTAGACATACCCTCAGGCTTTAGATTGATAAATTGAACTGCTTTCTAGATATCTCCACCTGATGTCCCACAGGCCTCCAAACTCAACGTGCCTTGACTGAACTTCTCATCACCCATCCTCACAAACCAAATCCTTCTGTGTTCCTTGTCTCAGTTGATAATCTCGGTATTCATACAGCCCCAAAGGTATAGATTGACAGGTCATACTTGTCTCCTCCAGCTCATCCAACTGGGGATCAAGCCCTGAAACACCATGTAAGTCCATCTCTTCTACTCCATCTGTATTACCGTGGTCCCACTCAAGGCCCTGATCATCTCTCACCTGGACCACTGTAATACCTTCTTGATTAGTTATTTATTGGTGCACAACAAGTCACCCTAACTTAGTGACTTAAAACAACAAACATTTATTATCTCACATTTTCTACAGGTCAGGAATCTGAGTATAACCTAGGTGGGTGCCTCTGGCTCGAGGTCTCTCTCACAAGATTGCAGTCAAGGTGTTGGCCAGAGCTGTGGACTTATCTGAAGGCTCAACTGTGGGGGGTGTGGATCCATTTCCAAGCTCACTCATATGGTTGGTGGCAGGATTCACTTCGTCACAGGCTGCTGGGGCTGATAGTTCAGTTCTCTACTGGCTGTTGCCCACAGGCTTCCCTCAGTTCCTTGTCTCTACAGAGGGCAACTCACAACATAACAGCTGTCTCTCCTCACGAGCAAGCAGGAGTGCACACAAGAAAAAGCCACAGTCTCTTTGTAACCTAACCTGGGAAGTGACATCCCATAACATTTACTATTTTCTCTTTGTTGAAAGTGAGTCAGTAGGTCTAGCCTATACTCAAAGGGAGAAGATTACAGGAGGGAATGAATGCCAAGAGGCAGAGATCATTGGCAGCCATGTCAGAGGCTGCCTGCTACACTCTCCTAAATGGACTCCCTGACTTAAGTTTTATATTCTCAAAGTTCATTCCTTTTATAGCTTCTAGAGTTTTCTAACCACATGTGACCATGTCATGTTCTTGCTTACTATTATTTAATGATATCCCATTAAAGCTTGATAAAAAAGAGTCCCCCCTCATATGAACTGCAAATTCTCCAGATCTGTCTCCTTCTCTTCTCCAGTTTTATCTCCAATACTCCTGCCACAACCACATCAAATGTCGTAATTTCCCTGATGTTTCTTCCTTCTATGCCTTTGCTCACATTGCCTCCTTTGCTTGAAGTGGCTTTCTCCAATGGCTTGCTGTGTGCACATATTGTAGAAGCTGCTCGGCTTCCACTGACTTTCCAGTGGCGTCATCTATGCTATTCTCCTTTTTCTGGGGAATTGATTTTCACTCCTTCCTTACCAAGTTTTTTTTTTTTTTTTTAAGATGGAATTTCACTCTACTGTTGTCCCGGTTGGAGTGCAATGGCACCATCTCAGCTCAATGGAAACTTGGCCTCCTGGGTTCAAGTGACTCCCCCTCCTCAGCCTCCTGAATAGCTGGGATTACAGGTGCATGCCACCACACCTGGCTAATTTTGTATTTTCAGTAGAGTCGGGGTTTCACTATGTTGGCCAGGCTGGTCTCGAACCCCTGACCTCAGGTGATCCACCCACCTCGGCCTCCCGAAGTGTTGGGATTACAGGTGTGAGCCACCATGCCCAGCCCTTCCCTACCCAGTTTTTAAATATTTTAACACAAGGTCTTGCTATGTTTCCCTGGCTGGTCTCAAACTCCTGCCTACCCAGTTTTAATGAGTATTCTGAATAGGAGCTACCATCATCTTACTTGTCTCCACTTCCTGATTGTGATTGATTTAAGGGAGAACGTGTGATCTAAGCTGAGCCAGTGAGTCCTTCCCTGAAATTTTTCACATAGGAGATAGGGGTAAAAATTGGTTGGAAGACATGAGAATTTGAATCTGGGCTGTCAGTGGCCTTTTTGCTCTTGTGAAGAAGCTCATCTGCAATTGGCAAAAATGAAGCCAAGGTGTCAGGATAAGCAAAAGAGAGTGACAGTTCTGAGACATTGAACCCCAATTCCAGTTGTCCTCAGCTGTACTCTCGTGATGGAAACTAACACACCTCCAAAATTGCTTATCTTCTGAATCAGGGGTGGGGGCACTGAGTTATTGGTCCTACCTACATCACAGGATTGTTAGCAGGGAGCAGACAAGACGAGCAATATGAAGTTGCTTTGATGCCATTTAAATATGAGTGATGCATTGTTATGAAAAAAGATCTTTTGACTTTATAACAGATCATTGTACCTGAAAACACTGTCCAAGGCCAGGTCTCAGACACAAAGCCATTTAAACCAGAAGTGATTGCATTTTCTGCTGACACCTATAAAAGTTTGTTGTGGGTCTTTATAAACTGCCAGGAAGTTCAGCGCTAAACATAATGCTCTATTATTGTAATCATTTCAGTCTAGGTTTTTTTTTGATTATTTATTCATCTTCTCTATATACTTATTGATTTTTTATTTACATTTAATGGTTTTATTAAACATGCCTTTTTGGTAACAGATTTATTTAAACATAATTCACATACCATAAAAGTCACCCACTTAAAGTGTGTACACAACTTGATGGCTTTAATGTATTCGTAAAGTTGTGCAACTATCACCACAATCAATTTTAGAACATTCTCATCACCACAAAAACAAATCCATACCCTTTAGCAATCATTGCCCCGCACCCCTTTCTTTCTGTCCCTCTAGTCTGAGACAACCATTAATTTACTTTTTGTCTCTATAGATTTGCCTGTTTCGGACATGTAATATTAATGGAATTATCAATATGTGGTCTTTGGTGTCTGGTTTCTTTCACTTAGCATAATGCTTTCAAGGTGCATACATGTTGTAATATATATCATTCCTTTCCAAAAATTGTGGTAAAATATATATGGCACAACAGTTGCCATTTTATCCATTAAAAAAACGTTTTTAAAGAGATGGGATTTCACTCTGTAGCCCAGGCTGGAGTGCAGTGGCATAGTCACTGCTCACTGCAGCCTCCACTTCCTGGGCTCAAGTGATCCTCCCTCCTCAGCCTCCCAAGTAGCTAGAACTACAGGTGTGCACCACCACACCTGGCTAATTAAAATTTTTTTTGTAGAGATGAGGTCTCACTATTTTGCCCAGGCTGGTCTCAAACACCTGAGCTTAAGTGATCCTCCTAACTTGGCCTCCCGAAGTACTGCCTGCCTGATTTTATCCATTTTAAGTGTACAATTCAATGGCATTAATTACACTCATAGTGTTGTGTAACCATCACCATTGTCTATTTTCAGACATTTTCATCACTCCAAACGGAAACTCTATGACCATATAGCAATAACTTGCCATTCTCCCCTCTCCTCAGCCCCTGGTAACCTGTAATCTACTTTCTATGAAATTACCTATTCTAGATATTTCTTATAAGTGGAATCACATAATATTTGTCCTTTTGTGTCTGGCTTATTTTACTTAGCATAACGTTTTCAAGGCTCACCATGTTTTAGCATGCATCACTACTTCATTCCTTTATTTTTTTCTTATATTTTTGAGACAGGATCTCACTTTGTTGCCCAGGCTGGAGTGCAGTGGTGAGATCTCTGCAGCCTCCACTTTCTGGGTTTAAACAATTCTCCTGCCTCAGTCTCCTGAGTAGCTGGGATTATAGGCATACACTACCATGCTTGGCTAATTTTTGTATTTTTAGTAGTGAGGGGGTTTCTCCATGTTGCCCAGGCTGGTCTCGAACTCCTGAGCTCAAGTGATCCATATGCCTCAGCATTCCAAAGTGTTAGGATTACAGGCAGAAGCCACCATGCCTAGCCAACTCATTAATTTTTAAGGCTGAATAATATTCAATTGTACGTATTATGTACCACATTTTGCTTATCCATTCTTCTCTTTATGAACACTTGGCTTGTTTTCATTTTGGCTATTATAAATAATGCGGCAAAGAACATTCACATGCAAGTATCTGTTTGAATCTCTGTTTTCAGTTCTTTTAGGTGTATACCTAGAAAGAGAATTGCTGAGTCTTGCGGTAATTCTATGTTCAACTTTTTGAGGAATCACCAAATTATTTTTAAACACTTTAAAAAAATCAGTAGAGATGGGATCTCACTATGTTGTTCAGTCTGGTCTCAAACTCCTGGCCTCAAGTGATCCACCTGCCTCAGCCTCCCAAGGTTTTGGGATTACAGGCGTGAGCCACTGAATGCCCATCTTTTCAATAAGTTTCAGTCCCCTTAAATTGTGAATACATAAATGATATGCTCAAGGACTTTTTATAGATGAGTAGTCCCAGTTCTCACAAGCGAGGGCAATTCTAGGGTAAACTATGTGAGATCAGGCTGTAACTACCAGTTTAAACACGTGGAAGAATCCTTCTGCTTTCTTTCCAGCACCACTGCTGACTTGGATCAGAAACCCTCCTCCTCACATTCTGGTCACTCCTCGGAAATGTCATTGCCTCAAGTCCAAAAGGATAAGTATCCTGAGGAATTCAGCCTGCTTAAGTTGCAGACAAGTAAGTCACAGACCCTCCTCCTCATGCCTCTGTGCCCCAGGTCTTTTCAGAAATCTACCATACTGTTGACCACCATCACTGAAGGCCCACAACTGTCAAGCATTTGACATACTTTATCTCAAAATTCACAACACCTCTGCCAGGAAGCTATTATATGTTTTTCAAAAATACAATGCCTTTATATAAAACCCATTAAAATACTGCAGAAAGACATTAAAATAATATAGAAGTATATAGAGTATAAAAACCCTTCCCCAATGTTTTCCAACAATATCCCTATTCTGCCTCATAGCCGTGAAGAGTTGATATATATTTTTCCTGTATTTTGAAATGTATATGTGTGTGTGTATATACACACACGTGTACATATATAGATGTAAAATAAATGGGTTAGTATACAAACTGGTATAAATAGATCATGGACCTCTTTCTGTGCCAATACATACAGATCTATGTGGCTAATATAGACATACCCATTTTACAGAAGAGGAAACTGAGGCTTTGAGACATTCAGTCATCCATAAAGCCACATGGCCAGGAAGTAGAGCGATGGGATCAGAACCCAAACTTGCTTGCCTCAAATCCTATGCTCTTCTTGGCTATCCCAAAGCCCACATTTCTCAAGCATCCCTAGAACTGCTAGGGGATCTTTTATTGTTTAAAGTCACTGTTAGCAATCTTACAGGAAAAGTATCAGATGATAAAACAAAGGCATTGCAAGGTCCAGAAACTAGCCTGAGGTCTCAGGAAGCTTTTCTCATTTGAAATTATCACAGGTACATTTCCCAGTGTCACCGTAGCGCACGTGCGTGCTATTGTTGCAGCCAATACCATGTTTCATCCACTTGAGGTGCCATGTGGATGGCACTGGCCTAACCGTTTGCTGGTTGATGGCATCCTATTTTTCCTACACAGTTATCAGAGGGAAGATTGTATCATAGGTACTTGGAAGACTGTATCTGAGCTTCCCAACCAATACTTAACTGCCAAACATAAAGCTGGCTTTATTTTTGAAGGAGAGGATGAAGAGGGCAAACAAGCAAACAAAAACAAAGAAGGCCTCTTAGGTAGCTCTCCCCCCACTTCCCTTCCTTTTGTGTCTAGCCCCACAGAGTTTCACATCTGTCTCTGATGTAGAACCAAGGGATTATACACATTAATTAAAGTTGTATAGCCAGATAGTGCCTGGGGAGTTTTCACCGCTTTTTGTCATCCAGTTGCATTATGAGGCTGGGAGCAGCACTAATGGAAGGCTTTCTGGTGTCTTGCAGAAGATGGGCATCGTCCTGAGTGGACGTTTTACCCGAGGTTTAGCAGCAACATCCACACTTACCATGTCGGAAAGCAGTGCTTCTTTAATGGAGTCTTCCTCGGCAACAAGAGGTCTCTATCAGAGAGGACGGTGGACAAGTGCTTTGGGAAAAAGAAATACGGTGATGTTTCTTTCTGGGTCTTGACTGTGCAGTCCCCGAAAAACTCTCAAGTTTAGTGATTCTATAGGCCCTGCGTTCTGTAGCTGGGGGCAGCCCTGTAGAGTCACCGTGTTCCCCTAGTGCAGCCAGGAAGACAGAAAAGTGAAGGGGACAGTTGGCAGGCTGCACGTTTTGGCAAAGAACTCACAACAGATGCTGATCCACATTTTCTTTTTTCTCTGAATTTCATAAAATGCAAATGTGACATTTAAGTCATCAGATAAGTTCTCTCAGATCCTTATTAATAGAAACCTCCATTGAAGTCTGAAGAAAAGAATTTATGTTCCAATTAGATGCTGCCTGGCATACACATTTAAATTGTACTTTATATTCTCCACAAGGAAAACATCCCATAACCCTCAGCCTGAAGTGCATGTTTTTATTTTATTGCTGATTTAATTAAAAGCTATTGAAATGAATATATATCTACCTGTGTATCTGTATCTCTTTGGTTTGTAGCTCAGTGAGTTCTTTGCCCCAACCTACTCATAATAGACTTACTGAAAGACCCTCAAAAGTTGCTGAGTACCAACGGACCATTTATGACACATTTTTCTATATAAATCCCTGTGTAGGAGGCAACCATTGCTCCCGAAATAAATAGGATTGCTGTAGCAGGAATACAAAGAGAAAGAAGTAGACTGTTCTCAGTTTTGAGTTTTAAAATAGACTTTTAAACTCACAGCAGAGACAAATAGTTTTGAGAATTGAGGCTTTTATTTAATTGGGTAGAAAAATACATGGAAAGCCCTACTAAATGAGCTGGGAGAGTGGTCATTGATATGGGAATCTGTGAGGAGTCCTGCACCTTGCACTTTTTTTTTTTTTTTTTTTTTTAAGACAAGGTCTTGTTCTGTGGCCCAGGCTGGAGTGCAGTGCCACCATCTTGGCTCATTGCGGCTCTGAACGCCAGCCCCCTAGCCCCAGGCTCAAGCAATCCTCCAACCTCAGCCTCCAAGTTGCTGGGACTACAGGCATGTGCCACCATGCCTGGCTGATTTTTCTATTTTTAGTAGAGACAGGGTTTCTCCATGCTGCCCAGGCCAGTTTCAAACTCCTGGGCTCCAGTGATCAGCCAGCCTTGGCCTCTCAAAGTGCCGGTATTACAGGTGTGAGCCACTGCAGCCAGCCTACCCTGCACTCTTGAGCTGCAAGTACCTATCACAAGTAAATGGGATTATCATAATGACCCAAATCTTAATTTTCACTTATCACTGCCCTCCTGGCTCAAAAGTAAGCCACCTTATCCTGACCTACCTTCCTTCCTTCCTTCCTTCCTTCCTTCCTTCCTTCCTTTTTCCTTTCCTCCCTCCCTCTCTCCATCCCTTCATTTCTTCTTTCCCTTCTTCCTTTAGGGTTTTATAAATACTGAGTAAATGCAATGATATATTTATGAAATATTTGTTGACTATATAGAATGAAATATAAGATATACTTATATTATACTTGTGTTCTTTTTTTTTTTTTTTTTTGAGACGGAGTCTCGCTCTGTCGCCCAGGCTGGAGTGCAGTGGCCGGGTCTCAGCTCACTGCAAGCTCCACCTCCCGGGTTCACGCCATTCTCCTGCCTCAGCCTCCGGAGTAGCTGGGACTACAGGTGCCCGCCACCTCGCCCGGCTAGTTTTTTGTATTTTTAGTAGAGACGGGGTTTCACCATGTTAGCCAGGATGGTCTCGATCTCCTGACCTTGTGATCCGCCCGTCTCGGCCTCCCAAAGTGCTGGGATTACAGGCTTGAGCCACCGCGCCCGGCCTATACTTGTGTTCTTTTACTCCATTTAAGAGGTAAAATATTAACTTTATATTTGAAGCCTCCAATATCCTCTTCCCTGAATATTCCATCTTTCCTCCCCCAACTCCAGTGGTAATCCATATTTTTTTAAAGAAAAACTTATCAGGTAAATTTTCAAACAATAGCATAATGAAACCCGATGTACTCATCCATTTAGCTTCAATAATGATCAATACCTGGCTAACTTGTTTCATCATTACCCCTCCTCCCAGGGATTATTTTAAAGCAAATTTCAGACATCATATTATTTCATCTCTAAATATATCATATGTGTCTCTGAAAAATAAGGATTATTTTATTAACATAACCACAATTCCATGTCCTAATATCATATTTTTAAAAATCAACAGTAATTCCTTAATATATTCAGTGTCCAAATATCCTATTATTTCATAAATGCCATAATTTAAAAATATTTAGCTTGTTTGGATCAGGATCCAAGTAAGGCCCACAGATTGAAATTGGTTGGTATGTCTCTTAAGTTTCTTTCAATATATAGGTCCTCCCTCCTTTTTTCTTGCAACATGTTTGGTGAAGAAACTAGGCCTTGTCCTGTAGTGTTGACTACGATCAGGACTTTGCTGATTACATCACTTGGTATCATTTAACAGGTTCCTCTTTCCTGTGTACTTCCTGTGAAGTGGTAGTTGGATCTACAGGCTTGATTCGTTTTAGTATGATTACTTCTTAGGTGTACAGTGACTTCTTTAAACATCAAATGCAATGGTCTTTTTCCATTTCTTCTCTTCCTTGATCTCACTGCAGCACTCGATACTGTCAAGCTTGACACTGGACACGTCTTCCTTTGTGAAATTCTCTCCCCACTCTTTCTTTTTCTCCCTTCCTTCCTTCCTTCCTTCCTTCCTTCCTTCCTTCCTTCCTTCCTTCCTTCCTTCCTTCCTTCCTTCCTTCCCTCCCCCCTCCCTCCCTCCCTCTCTCTCTCTCTCTCTCTCTTTCTTTCTTTCTTTTTTTTGACACAGAGTCTCACTGTGTCACCCAGGCTAGAGTGCACTAGCATGACCTCGGCTCACTGCAACCTCTGCCCCCTGGGTTCAAGCAATTCTCATGTCTCAGCCTCCTGGAGTAGCTGTGATTACAGGCATGTGCAACCACAGCCAGCTAATTTTTGTATTTCACTAGAGATGGGGTTTCACCATGTTGGCCAGGCTGGTCTCAAATTCCTGACCTCAAACACCTGCCTTGGCCTCCCAAAGTGCTGGGATTACAGGTGTGAGCCACCACTCCCGGCTGCCACTCATTATTTCTTGGATGAGATGAAGAGGCAGGCTTAGGGACTGCCAACCAGCTGCCATTTTAAACTGGAATGCAACTCATTATTATATAAAAAAATCAATCAAAATATCTTTAAATAATGGTTGAATGTGATCCATCAGCCATAACCAGGATATTGGCAGAGTTCCCTAAAGGCGTAGTTGTTGCCATAGAACAAAATGCCATCTATGATTGTAGGTGGTAGGGAAATGGGTCTGAAAATATAATTTTCTATTGTGTAGCTCTTCCTACAGTATCGCATACTGTATTAGTCAGAACAGGATAGATTCTTTTTTTTTTTTTTTTGAGACGGAGTCTCGCTGTGTCGCCCAGGCTGGAGTGCAGTGGCCGGATCTCAGCTCACTGCAAGCTCTGCCCCGTTTTACCCATTCCGGCCTCAGCCCCGAGTAGCCGGACTACAGGCCCCCACCTCGCCCGGCTAGTTTTTTATTTTTTAGAGACGGGTTCACCGTTAGCCAGGTCTCGAACTCCTACCTCGTGATCTGCCCGTCTCGGCCTCCCAAAGTGCTGGGATTACAGGCTTGAGCCACCGCGCCCGGCCAGAATAGGATAGATTCTGCCGCAGTAACAATCCCTGAAATTTCAGCAGCTTAAGCACTAAAGTTTGCTCCTTTCTCTTATAAAGTCCACTGTGGATCCAGCAGCTCTCCAGGGCAGTTCCTTTCCAAGGATCCTGTCTGCTTTTATCTGTGACCTTTCCATCTCAACCTGTGGCTTCTAAGATTGCCATAGAAGGGGAAAGAGAAAATGCTGGAAGGTTTTTCACTTCAGCTCCTTAAATGCTTCTTTTTAAAGGTGGTACATATCATCTCTGCTCACAATCTATCAGTCAGAACATGGCTCTACCTAAGTGCATTGGGGCACTGACATGTGGGGCAGACTAAGTTACTTGGTGAACAGTTCACTCCCTCGAATGGTTATTTGTCTCTAAGTGTATGTGTCCCATTTTCTACCTCCTGAATGTCTTTACATCCAGGAAATTGGATGGTCTGTATAAAAACAAACAAGCATTAGAACTGATCGTGCGGTGTTATGGGTCCATCAGCTATTGATGCATAGTGGCCAGCACTTTGGGCTGACACCTGTCTTGGTGAGCTATCCAGAAATTATACCAAGGCCCCATATGGTACCTAATGGCTTAAACAAATGTGTTGTCTCAGAAGTGTTGCTTGGGAGATTTTCCCCCTAAAAGTAACACCTTATGCAGATACCACACCATTGGCTCTTTTTCTTCCTCCTGATGTTATCTTGTGATATCTTTTATGATAGTCTATTTTTTTTTTTTTTGAGACAGAATTTCACTCTTGTTGTCCAGGCTGGAGTGCAATGGTGCAATCTCGGCTCACTGCAACCTCTGCCTCCCAGGTTCAAGTGATTCTCCTGCCTCAGCCTCCTGAGTGGCTGCGATTACAGGCATGTGCCACCGTGCCCAGTTAATTTTGTATTTTTAGTGGAGATGGGGTTTCACCATGTTGATCAGGCTGGTCTCAAACTCCTGATGTCAGGTGATCCACCCACCTCGGCCCACCCAAAGTGCTGGGATTACAAGCGTGAGCCACTGCGCCTGGCCACCATAGTCTATTTCTAGGTGTTCTCCTTAGACCACCTATATCATATTCAACTTGTGAGTTTATTAAAAATGCTGGTTCTGGGAGCTACTAGAGATCTTCTGAAACAGAATTTCTTGGGTTAAAGGTTGCATTTTAAACAAGTTTCCTAGGTGATTTTCAGGTGTGCTAAAATTTTGGAACCACTCTTCTGTAGTATATGGCATTTACTGCCTCGTAGTGTTACCTTCGTCTTTACGAATGTCTCCCCATCTAGATAAGATTCCCTGGGGAGAAGTATATACCTTAGCTATATAGTAATCATACCTTCCAGATTAAAAAATAATTGGGATGAGGGGTATTAGTCCAGTTGTGATTTCAAATAATAATAATTGCTACTATTTCTTGAGTGCTTGTTATGTGCTCATATCATTATTATTTAGTATTCATGATAACTCTGCAAAGTAGCCATTTGAAATAAACAGTTTATACATGAGGTTACAAAGGCTTAAGAAGGTTAAATAAATAGCTCAAGGGCACAGAACCAGAAATTACAGGAGTGAGTATGAACTCAGGTGCAACTGACTCCAAAGTCCAATTCCTTCCCACCACCTCTTGTTAACACCTGACTCTTACTTGTCAGTGCCCTGGTTTGGGATTCGAAAGGTTTTGGATTTACTGTATATTTAATTAACTAATTAATTAAAATTTTGAGACAGAGTCTCATTCTGTTTCCCAGGCTGGAGGCATGTGGCATGATCTTGGCTTACTGCAACCTACGTTTCCCAGGTTTAAGCGATTCTCCTGCCTCAGCCTCCCGAGTAACTGGGATTACAGGCGTGTGCCACCACACCCAGCTAATTTTTGTATTTTTAGTAGAGACAGAGTTTCACTGTGTTGGTCAGGCTGGTCTAGAACTCCTGGCCTCAAGGGGATTCAGTATATATTTTAAACTTCCACTCTCTCTGCTTTGAATCCTCAGCATCTCATACCCAGCAGGCACTCGATGCATGGGTGTAGCTGCATTGGGTGTGTTTCACTACACAGAAGAGCTAATCAAACGTGTAATACAGTCAGTTATTGAAAAGGTTTTTGAAAGAGAAAGATAAAAAATTAAATACTACGCTAACCCAAGAACTCCCACCTGTCACGCTGATGGCTTTTCCGAGTTAGCTAGAAGAATCTGGGTGTGTGGCAAACATGGAGGTCATGCTTCCAGCCTCATGTCCCTGCTTCCGAGCCCAAGGGTGGTGACTCTCGTAGTCCAGGCTTGTTCTCTTAGGAGATGTATCTGGTGTCAAGTGTGTGGGTTGATTTATTTATTTTATTTTTAATTTTAAGTTTTTTATAGGCCATTTTAAGGACTTTAGGTATGTGGGTTTAAATGATCACCCTGCACTAGGCAGATGCCTTCCACTCCCATAATTAGTTTCTTGTTCCCGGGGCTTTAGCAGGGGCTGAGCTGGGTGTACAAGCCTCTGCCGAGTAATCTTGCTCTTCTCCAGGAAGCCACCTCCCACTGCTGCATGGCCCCAGTCCTTGAGGCAGAAGGAGCAAGACATCCTTAGTTGGTTTCCTTCCCAGACCCAGTCAGAGAGGCAGCGCCCCAGGGACATTTGTTTCTTGGGCTTCCTAAGACTCAGGGATTCAAAGTGCACTAATGCTCAGGAATCAAGAGATTATTAGGTCACAGATTTTTGGATCATTGCAAAGAGACCTCTGATTCACCTTATATTTTAAACCAAAGCACTCCATCTGAGTCTAACAATTCTTTTCCAGGGTGAGGTAGTTATAACAACACTTTTTGGAAAATGTCCCAAACATAGGCTCATCTCCTTAAGGCAAGATAATCACAAACAGAACTTTGAGAAACTTCTATGTAATTTATAATAAATTACTAAAATATCCTATTTCCATTGTCATGCCAATACTTACAGCAAATCTGTGGATCATCTTCAGCCCTTGTATGATTTTGTTTTCAAACCTTCTCCACAGATATTGATCCCAGGAACGGAATCCCAAAGTTAACTCCAGGGGATAATCCATATATGTACCCAGAACAGAGTAAAGGCTTCCACAAAGCAGGATCAACGCTCCCACCAGTGAATTTTTCAGTGTAAGTGTATGTTAATACTAGCATTATATAGTTAACTTTAAAGGAATTGTGTCTCTCTACTACATAGAAATTATATTTTAAAAGGGATAGATGTCAACAAGATGTGATTGGATGAAAATTCCTTGAAAAGCTCATCTTTAGTTAATTAGTGTCTGCACAGATGCATGTGTATAATTAAAATTGCACACAGGACTTGGACTACAAAAAAGCGGTTGTTAATTTTGTTCCTATCTCTATTAGCACAGATTTGAAAGCTTTTAAATGTTCATACTGAATCAGATTGTTGGCCATAGTGACTACTATGTGGGTGGACTTAAACTTGGAAATAAACTTAGACCAAAGTGATGGAGAAAAATGGGAGGATCATTACATTAAAAGAAAATTAGTTGGTGTATTACTTTTTTTTTTTTTTTTGAGAAGGAGTCTCGCTCTGTCGCCCTGGCTGGAGTACAGTGGCGTGATTTTGGCTCACTGCAAGCTCTGCCTCCCAGGTTCACGCCATTCTCCTGCCTCAGTCTCCCAAGTAGCTGGGACTACAGGTGCCTGCCACCATGCCCGGGTAATTTTTTGTATTTTTAGTAGAGACAGGGTTTCACTATGTTAGCCAGGATGTTCTCGATCTCCTGACCTTGTGACACACCTGCCTCGGCCTCCCAAAGTGCTGGGTAGTTGGTGTATTACATTTAAAACATTGTTTTAAAAAATTAACCATGTGAAATGTAATGATGCTGACTAAAAATGATCACAACTAAAATCTGTGGGCCGGGGGCGGTGGCTCACGCCTATAACCCCAGCCCTTTGAGAAACCAAGGGGGGGCAGATCACCTGAGGTCAGGAGTTCCATACCAGCCTGGCCAACATGGTAAAACCCCGTGTCTACTAAAAATACAAAAATTAGCTGGGCACGGTAGCAGATGCCTGTAATCTCAGCTACTCAGGAGGCTGAGGCAGGAGAATTATTTGAACCTGGGAGACGGAGGTTGCAGTGAGCCGAGATTGCAGCACCACACTCTAGCCTGGGCAACAGAGCGAGTGAGACTCCATCTCAAAATAAACAAAATAAAATAAAATAAAATCTGTGGGCCAGGCACAGTGGCTCATGCCTGTAATCCTAGCACTTTGAGAGGCTGAGGCTGGAGGGTTGCTTTAGCTCAGGCGTTCCAGACCTACCTGGGCAACATGAAAAAACCCCTTCTCTACAAAAATACAAAAAATTAGCTGGGCATGGTGGTGCATGCCTATAATCCCAGCTATTTGGGAGGCTGAGGTGGGAGGATCACCTGAGCCTGGAAGGTTGAGGCTGCAGTGAGCTGAGATTGTGCCACTGCACTCCAGCCTTGGGGACAGAGTGAGACCCTGTCTCAAAACATAAATAAAATAAAATAAAATAAAATTTGCGGTTCTTACAGTTTTGAAGTCCATACTTGAAAATTAAAATTGGAAAACAGGACATTCTATTGAATGCAATGATGTATTGATCGCTTTGCTGTAGATGGCATACCAGTTTTATGATTGCCTTTTCTGTTTTTCAGAGCACCTTATGAAAAGAAATTTGATACATTTATTCCACTTGAGCCTCTTCCACAAATTCCCAAGTGAGTTCTTTTACCATGTTTTGTGCTAGCCCATCTTTATGAAATATCAATTATTTTATTATTTCCTCCTGCAGTGGAGTGGGTAGATAACCAGGACACAGGGCCCTTTTGAACCCCAGCAGGAGGGTGGGGCAGTTTGTAAGGAAGGCGTTTGGATAGACACTCTGTAGAGTCTGCAGTTGGGATGGTCACATATTCAACAGACGTAACTGACAAACTACCAGATGCCATGTGTTGTGCTAGCCATGCACGATAGGAGAGTTCACATGGAACAAAAAGACAGGGTTCCTGATTCCTAGAACATGAGTATTTTGGGAAAGAAAGACACACACTTAAATGATTGCAACTGGGGAGAACGGTTAGAGTTTCAAGAGGCAGAAATAAAGCTAACAGAGCACTTCTGTGTTTGAGGGACATATCATTCCTTTAATTTCATACTTTTGCTTCACTCCATTCTGAACCTCATGTATTTACCTAAGCTGGTTTCTGACTGATAAAGACATATTTTCTTTTCTTTCTTTCTTTTTTTAACTTTCTAATACAAAGCAGGCTCATATGAGTGGGCATGTGTCCCAGGGTCTGACCCACTCTGCAATTCAGTGGGAATAAAAGCCTTTTATTCCAAACTTGAGATTTTTAATGTCTTTATTATGTTGCATTGTTACTTATGGCACATGATTAGGGCTTCTCATGTCTGTACTTTACATTTTTAATAAACACTATTCGAGAATATTCCAAATAATAGCAATTGCCTAAATTTCATCATCATCCTACTCAACTATTTTAGCTTTTGTACATTACCTTTCATATGCAAATATGTTTTTACATGTATAAACCTGAGAATACCAATTAGTCGGGTTTTCCTAAAAAGAAAGGTTAATTTTTTTTTTTTTTTTTTTTAAAGAAGTACAAAGCTGGCTGGGTGCAGTGGCTCACACCTGTAATCCTAGCACTTTGGGAGGCCAAGGCAGGGGGACTGCTTGAAGCCAAGAGATTGAGACCAGCATGGGCAACATAGTGAGACCCTATCTCTACAAAAAATTTTTTTAAAAAAAATTAGCCAGGCATAGTGGTATGCAACTGTAGTCCTAGGTACTTGGGAGGCTGAGGCAGGAGGGTTTCTTGAGTCTATGAGTTCGAGGCTGCAGTGAGCTATGATTGTGCTATGCACTCCAGCCTAGGTGACAGAGCGAAACGCTGTCTCAAATTAAAAAAAAAAAAAAAAAAGAGAGAATTCGATCAGCATATTCCTCTGTGCTATGGTCAGTAAGACAATTGGGAGACTTGGACCCTTTCCTCAGGGACAGTCACCCTAATGAAAAAGTCTACTAACCAGTTAGTCATGGCAGAAGCAACAAAGGCTTCTGTTACTGGATTTAGCATTTACTGTTTCCTAGTTCTCTGTTTTGTTCTGTAGTGTCTAATTTGCTGTTAGTCCCATCCAGTGATTATGTATTTTGATCTTTAGAAATTCTATTTGATTCTTTTTTATATCTGTTGTTCTTTCCTATTTTCATGTTTTCCTTAAATACTTGGACATAGTAATAACTGTTCAAAGATTTTTGTTTGCCGGCCAGGCGTGGTGGCTCACGCCTGTAATCCCAGCACTTTGGAAGGCCGAGGCGGGCAGATCACGAGGTCAGGAGATCAAGACCATCCTGGCTAACATGGTGAAACCCCATCTCTACTAAAAATACAAAAATTAGCTGGGTGTGGTGGCACGTGCCTGTAGGCAAAAAAAAAAAAAAAAAAAAAAAAAAAGATTTTTGTTTGCTAATTCTATTATTTGTGTCATTTCTGGGTGTGTTTCTGCTGACTGATTTTTTTCCTGATTATGGGTCACATTTTCCTGCTTCCTAGTATGTCTAGTAATTTTTATTTGGATACTGGACATTATAATCTTATATTGTTGAGTATTTGGATTTTGTTGTCTTCTTTTATTTTTTATTTTATTAATTTTATTTTTTAGATGGAGTCTCACTCTGTTGCCAGGTTGGAGTGCAGTGGCACGATCTGGGCTCACTGCAACCTCTGTCTCCCAGGTTCAAGGGATTTTCCTGCCTTAGCCTCCGGAGTGGCTGAGATTACAGGCACGTGCCACCACACCCAGCTAATTTTTGTATTTTTAGTAGAGATGGGGTTTCACCATGTTGGCCAGGATGGTTTCAATCTCCTGACTTCGTGATCCACCTGCCTTGGGCTCCCAAAGTGCTGGGATTACAGGTGTGAGCCTCTGCGCCCGGCCTCGTCTTTTTTTAAAGAGTGCTGGGCTTTGCTGTAGCAGGCAGTTAAGTCACTTGCCGTTTGGTTTGATTCTTTTGAGGCTTGTTTTCAAGCTTTGTTAGGGCATGTCTAAAGTAGTCTTTAGGGATAGTTTAACTCCATTACTAAGTAAGATGTGGCCCTTTTAGAGTCTCTACTGAATGCCTTGAGTGACCAATGAGGAGTCTTCACTTTAATTGGTGGGAACTAAAATGATTTTTAGCCCTTTGTGAGCCCATTCAGTTCCCAGTCACTCTACTGTCTGATCTTGTGGAGTTCTACCCTACACATGTGTGTCTTAATATTCAGCAAAGACTCGAAGGAAGTGCCATTTGAATTTCTTAATTTCATTTTTTTGTATAGTTCCTTCTTCCCCAGAACTCTGCCCTGCAGCTTCCAGCCCTCCAAGACTCTGTGAACTCGGATCTTCGGCTCCTCAAACTCATAGAGAATGCCATGCTCTGTGTAGGGTTGCTTATCCTACGCTGTGGTCTTGAATGCGCCGCCAGGCAAAAGCTGGGTGATTCCAGGGCTCTTTTCATTTGCTTTCCTTTTCTTTAAGATCACAATCCTGCGCTGCCTGTTGTCTCATTCTGAAAACTGTTATTTCATACATTTTGTCCAGTTTTCTACTTGTTTAAGTCAGGAGAGTAAATCTGATCCCTGCTACTTCATTATGGCTGGAATTATTATCTATGAATATAAATGTTATTATCCATCATCTATTAATAAAAATTGTAGTTTTTTCCCCAAGTTATTTGATGAATCAGTTTTGTACTATTCCATCACTCTCATCAAAGTTATTCATATCTTTAAATAGTGTAGTAATTGTGCTTGGAAATTTAAGAATGTTAAATCTGCAAATGCAACAATCCACCTTTAAAATAAGAACAAAACCTGATAACCAGAACCAGATAAAGTTGCCAAGTCTTCTCTAGTTAGCTAGTGACAGAGAGAGCCAGAATTAGAATAAATATTAGGGAGGTAAGATTACTCATTGAAAAGGTCCCTATAATGTGCAGTACATTTACAGGGATTATTTAGTCAACTCAGCAGATATTCTTTGAGTACCATTTATGCACTTGATCTACAGGAGAAATGGGAAGGTGGTGAGGTAATGGAGGCAGGGATCACAAAGATGAATAAGATATGACATTTGTTTCAAGGCTCATTGTCTGTTGTGGGGAGAGACCACTAGATGAGTAATCATAAAACAATTGAAAGCAAATATGATACAATGTGTACCTAGAGGAAAGACATGTGGGGAAGTTGGGGACGTGTTGCAGAGGAGGTGGTATTTGATCTGGCTCCTAGATGAGGCATTGCAATTAATGTATCTTCCAAGGACAAAGTATTATGGGATGCATCTACATTAGGTCACTTAATATTTATTTTTACATTTCCACGTGTGCTTGAAAAGAAAGTGTATTCCATTTAGTCAGGATGGAAAGTTAGATACATACTCAGAAGATTGACTTTATTGGTTATGTTGTTTAGCCCAAATATTTCCTTATCTTTGTTCACTTGGCCTAGTTTGGATTGAGAGTTAGTGTGAGAGTTAGGGTGTCTGAATATTAGCATTTCGACTATTTTTGTTGTTAATTGTGTCTTTTAGCATTATAAAAGTATCTTTATTTTTCTCATTTAATATTTTTTGTCCTAAAGTATACCTAGCCTGTTATTAAGATTCTAATTCTTACTTTATTTTATTTGCATCTGAGCTTTGCCCATTCTTTCTGCCCATTCTTTTGCTTTTGAAGCACTTTGCTTTTAGTGTAGAATTGGATTTTGCTCTGTGAGCCAGCTTGAAATATTTTCTTTAATTCAGGTGAATTAGGCCACTTGTATTTATTGATTAGACTGATATATTTGATTTCGGTTCTGTTACATTATTTGCTACATTTATTATGTGTACTGTATTATATTTACAGTGAATCTTTCAGTGTTTTCTTTGATTGCTTCAAAAAAGGTTGAAAAATCCTTTCTTTTGATATTTAGAAATGCTTGTGTTCTTATTCTAGTAGTTCTTTGTGCTAGTATCTTTATACGTTGCTCTTAGTCCTGCTTTTCTTTTCTTTTCTTTTTTTTTTTTTTGAGATGGAGTCTCACTCTGTTACCCAGGCTGGAATGCAGTGGTGCGATCTCGGCTCACTGTAACTTCCACCTCCCGAGTTTAAGTGATTCTCCTGCCTCAACCTCCTGAGTAGCTGGGATTACAGGCATGCGCCACAACGCCCGGCTAATTTTTGTATTTTTAGTAGAGACAGGGTTTCACCATGTTGGTCAGGCTGGTCTCGAACTCCTGACCTTGTGATCCACCTGCCTCGGCCTCCTAAAGTGCTGGGATTACAGGCGTGAGCCACCACTCCTGGCAGTCCTGCTTTTCTTATTTGGGCTTCTACTACTTGGCTTGTTGGCTTTAAGTGATAACTTTGACTTTCACCAATTACCTATTTGGTAACCATCCTCTTCTTTCTTGCAGGGACTTCCCTACCCCCAGCAGTTTTACAAGGGCATTTTGCCAATTGTGGTATATTTCTCCCCTAAAGCACAAGAATTCTAGCTTCCAAAAGATGAAAACATTCTGCATCTCCCTGCTCCAACTCATCCCAGAGTCACACTTCCTACTACCTACTGGACCACACACAGCCCAGAAATGCCCTTTCAAGTCTCAGTGGCTCTGGGAAGACTCTGGGTGTCTGCATTAGCCAAGGTCCCAGCAGAAAACAGAAAGCACACTCAGCTGGGATTCTGAAGACAGCTTAAGGAAAGGGACTACTTATGGGTGTGTGGGCAGGGTTGGGGGAACCCACATGGGAGGGTGAAGCACCCAGAGGCTCATGACAGTGGGAAGCGTTACTACTCCTGGGTCTGAGCAGCAAGAAGAGGGATCACGGTTTGCAGAACAGTAAGCACTGGAACTCTGGGAGAAGGGCTGCCCAACAGGAGCTGTGGCACTGCCAGAATTGGGGTACCTTGGGAGATAGGACATCAGGGGAGGAGCTAGGTAAGAAATGCCCTAATTTCTGTCCACCTTCTGATCTCCTGTTGGTGCCATCAGCCAAACCCAGCTCAAAGGTGGAAGCACGGGTGGGGACGGTGGTTCATGCCTGTAATCCCAGCACTTTGGGAGGCTGAGGTGGTAGGATCACCTGGAGTCAGGAGTTCAAGACCAGCCTGACCAAGATGGTAAAGCCCAGTCTCTACTAAAAATACAAAAATTAGCTGGGCATGATGGCATGTGCCTGTAGTCCCAGCTACTTGGGAGGCTGAGGCAGGAGAGTCATTGAACCCGGGAGGCAGAGGTTGCAGTGAGCAGAAATCGCACCACTGCACTCCAGCCTGGGTGACAGAGCAAGACTCTGTCTCAAAAAACAAAACAAAAAGAAATGTGGACTGGATGTAGTGGCTCACACCTGTAATCCCAGCACTTTGGGAGGCCGAGGTAGGTGAATTACCTGAGGTCAGAAGTTTGAGACCAGCTTGACCAACAAGGTGAAACCCCGTCCCTACTAAAAATACAAAAATTAGCTGGGTGTGGAGGCGTGTGCCTGTAGTCCCAGCTACTCAGGAGGCTGAGGCAGGAGAATTGCTTGAATCTGGGAGGTGGAGGTTGCAGTGAGCCGAGATTGCGCCACTGCATTCCAACCTGGGCAATGGAGTGAGACTGAGTTTCAAAAAAAAAAAAAAGTGGAAGCACGGAGGAGACCAGGTGATACTAGCTGTAAGGTCAGCCTCTTGGCAGAGAAGGGCTGAACAAGAGCTGGGTTTAAGGCAGGGGCAAATGGTGAACAACTAACATATTTTATTTTGAAGCTGGTCTCCTAAATTGGAGGTCTTTTTACTTTTGGAGCATATAATGCCTTATCTGCTGTTGGTGTTTGTAAATTTTGCATCAAACTGAAACTCAGGGTGTTGTCTTCTTACCACAGCTTGCCCTTCTGGGTGAAGGAGAAGGCCAACAGTTTGAAGAATGAGATACAAGAGGTTGAGGAGCTCAACAACTGGCAGCCAGCAGTGCCCTTAATTCTGCTCCTTCCTGGTAGGTTAAAGAACCTTCAAAGAATAGTGTAAAAACTGGAGGAGTCCACCGGGCATGGTGGCTCACTCCTGTAATCCCAGCACTTTGGGAGGCCGAGGCGGGCAGATCATAAGGTCGGGAGTTCAAGACAAGCCTGATCAACATAGTGAAACCCCGTCTCTACTGAAAATACAAAAATTAGCCAGGCGTGGTGGCACACGCCTGTAATCCCAGCTACTCGGGAGGCTGAGGCAGGAGAATCGCTTGAACCCAGGAGGTGGAGGTTGCAGTGAGCTGAGATTGTGCCACTGCACTCCAGGCTGGGCAACAGAGCGAGACTTTGCCTCAAAAACAAACAAACAAACAAACAAACAAAAAACAAAACTGGAGGAGTCCAGAAGAACAGGCTTTTGAGAGGCTTCACAGTGGAAAGGAGGGCAGGCAAAGTATCTCCCGGAGTGGATGTGTCTTCTGTCCTGAGGTGGTCTCATGGGCAGATGTTATAGCCAAGCATTGAGGGGTGAGTGTATTGGTTGAGAATTGTTAGTTTTGTAATGGAAGAAAACCTTTAACTCCATGCCTCTATCCACAGGTGCTTTGGACTTTCCAAGACAATCCTGAGCATACACAGGCCCACAAAACATGTGCTGACTGCACTCTGGCGAGCCTTTTCCAGTTGATGGTTTTTCTCATGTGACTGTTCTAAATTCAATGTTTGACCCTTATGAGGAAGTGTTGTGCTTTGCTTTTTTAAAACTTTATATTTTGAAAACTTTCACATTTACAGAAAAATTGCAAGAATTGTACAACAAACACCTGCATATCCTTCACATAGATTCTATCAATGTTAACATTTGTTCAAACTTTCTCTCTCTCACAATATTACAATTACCATTTTGCTGAACTCTTTGAGAGTGAGTGGCAGATATTGTAATGCTTTACACCTGTATACCAACATACCTCAGCATGTATCTCCTAAGGTCAAGGATGTTGTCTAACAAGCACAACACAAATATCAAACTCATGGAATTTAATACTGATAAAATATTATTAATATTTAGTCCACATTCAGTTTTAGTCAATTATATTTAGTTTTCTGAGGATGCCCTCAAATCAATCATAAAATACAGACATTATGTGAGTGTCTTAGCCTGTTCAGGCTGCTATAACAAAATACCATAAACAGAATGGCTTATAAATGATAGGAATTTATTTCTCACAGTTCTGGAGGCTGGGAAGTCCACGCTCAGGGTGCCAGCAGGTTCAGTGTCTGCTGAGGGCCAGCCTTCTGGCTCATAGACAGTACCTTCTTGCTGTGTCCTCATATGATAGAAGGGGTGAGCTAGTCCTCTGGGGTCTCTTTTACAAGGGCACTAATCTCATTCATGAGGGCTCTGATCTCATGACCTAATCGCCTCCCAATGACCTTATCTCCTAATACCATCACCTCGGGGATTAGGTTTCAACATACGCATTTTGGGGTGGGAAGGATAAACATTTAGACCATAGCAGTGAACTTTCATTGCTTTTGGTAAAACCGTTTTCATTTTATTAATACCTTTCGGAATGTTTCTCTAATGTTAACTTGGTACATGTCAGAAAAACATGAAGGCTGGATCTATACCAGGTAAGTAATACTGTTGCCCTGTAGCTGCATTCCTCACTCCAGTGTTGCCTATCTACAATAGCCAGGCAGGGTGAGAGCTCAGTGACCACCAGTCATGAGTTTTAGGGCCTCCTGTCAATCAGACAAAAAGCAAACATTTGGAGGAAAAGGTGAAAACAAAAGCTGCCTCACAGGCTCTGACACAGTCAAACTAACGGCTCTTGGCATTTTTATAGCCAATCTCTTTCTCCACTAGGGAACCCCATTGACTGACTAATGAGGGCTGCAGATCTAGTCTCCCCAAAACCTTAAAGTGGAAAGAGATTGGGGCCCATGCTGAGACTTAACGTGTCTATGACATGAGCATGATTTATTTCCCATGTCTGTTGTTTCCAGTCACAGCCAAAGTGAATGAAGCAGGTTTAGAACACAATACATTTAGCCAGGTGTGGTGGCTCATGACTGGAATCCCAGCACTTTTGGAGACTGAGGCATGCGAATCACTTGAGGTCAGGAGTTCCAGACCAGCTTGGTCAACACAGTGAAACCCTGTCTCTACTAAAATTACAAAAAGTAGCCAGGCATGATGGTGGGCGCCTGTAATCCCAAGTACTCGGGAGGCTGAGCCAGGAGAATCGCTTGAACCCAGGAGGTGGAGGTTGCAGTGAGCCAAGACCATGCCATTGCACTCCAGCCTGGTCGACAAGAGCAAAACTCCATCTCAAAAACAAAGAAACAAACAAAAACCACAGTGCATTCATGGCACCTTCATATGTGCCTCTAGACTAACTGGCAGACAGCATGGTGCCTACCACCAGCTGCTGTGCCTGACCACTCCTTGGGTTAACATCAGCATACATCTGTGCTAATCCTCTGGCCCCTGGGTCACAGGCCCACCCCTGCTCCTAATATAATAATTAAAAAGAAAACCAAATAATTTTTAAAAAGACAAAGGCTGCCAAGAGATTTTTCCAGAACACATTAACTTCTGAAAAAATAATAATTTTTTGTGCCTCTATTACTTAAATATAAAAAAGTCTTCCTTCCCTCTAGTCAACAACAACGTCCCACCCCTAAAAAAAAAGTCAACTGCAACCACCATGTGGGTTAGTAATGGAGGACACAATATAGAACAAAAAAAGATTCTGCAGAGATTTCCTGATGGGATTATCTAGGTGGCACAGGAAACTGCTCTCAGAAGGTTCCCTGGTGTTTTGGAAGGAGGGTGTCCTACACCATAAATATATTAAGAAAAACAACTGGCTGGACAAGGTGGCTCATGCCTGTAATCCCAGCACTTTGGGAGGCTGAGGCAGGCAGATCACAAGGTCAGGAGATCGAGACCATCCTGGCTAACGCGGTGAAACCCCGTCTCTACTAAAAACACACAAAAAATTAGCCAGGCGTGGTGGCGGGTGCCTTTGGTCCCAGCTACTCGGGAGGCTGAGGCAGGAGCACGGTGTGAACCCAGGAGGAGGAGCTTGCAGTGAGCCGAGATTGTGCCACTGCACTCCAGCCTGGGTGACAGAGCGAGACTCCGTCTCAAAAAAAAAAAAAAAAAACAACCAAAATATAGTTTTAGAAGGTTTGGAGTAGTCTCTAGGTTTCAAAGAGGTCTATATAATTCCTAGATGCTGCTCTAAGTAGATATGATTTGATTCCTTTTTCTTTTAATCCAGGCCGCAGAAACCATGAGTAAAAAAAAACAAAAACAAAAAAACCCCACACAACTGTTAGATGATTGAACTTCTGGAGTTGCAGGACTACATTTCATCCCCTGAAAATCAGGGAAGTTTTCACTGGATCTGGTGTTCTCTGTGGGTACATCTCGATGGCCAGGCCTTATTCCATGGCACCTCAACAGCTGGCAGGGAGAGTTCCACTGCCAACTTCGGACAGCATCAGTATGTCTGTGTGTGTTGGGGAGATAAAGGCATAGAAAAGGCCACTTGGGAAAAATATGTGCATATCACAGCTGTTCCAGCTTTTGCTTCTTTCCAGCTGTTCTAGCTTTTCTTTTGCTTCTTTCCAGCTGTTTCAGCTTTAGCTTCTTTCCGCTACAAAGAGGTTGAACCTGTTAGATGTAAAGATCCCCTTCAACTTACTGTAGGGTCTTTGGTAAATAAAAACACGTGTGTGTGCAGAGGTGCGTGTGTGTTCATTTCTTACTTTCAGTAACTGAAGTTCAATAGAAATAAACTATATGTGGCACTTTACAAGTAAATTTCTTGGTGTGCAATTTTACATTGCACAGAGATATTCTAATTTTGGATCCTGGGATAAATGAAAAATGGCCTCTGTGGACATGAGGAAACATTGTATTATTCAACTAGTGGCACCAACGTTCAAATCAGTGATCTCTGAACTCCAAGTTACCAAAATGTTAAGATAGTAGGATATCAAACTTCTAAACTTCCACAGGGAATTTAGGAATATACTGTAGGAGTCCACTAATTGTCCACATTTCTAATACAAGACACTCAGTTTGGTTAGTTTTGTTTTGTTCTTAGGCATTTGGGTCTCAAAATCTAGGCAGGTAAGCACATTGTTTACAGGACTTGACTTGGTGAAGGATTTTAGAGTTGGAGCCCTTCAAGATCATGTCCCTGTCCTAAAGAGGCTTTTCTTTCCTGGCTGGGAAATCAGGAGAGAGTACTTGGGTATATAATTACCTCTACCCAGAACTGAGCCACATGCCTGATGTGGGATAGTACACCTTTTTACGGGGTCTACGGGCCAAGTTCCCGGCACACTCTGGGAGAGGATGTGGGAGCCCATTTGAGATGACCGGTGTCCTTCCCATGCTGGGGAGCCCCAAGAGGGACTGTGGCCTGATCCCACTCTCAGGAATGGGGAGGCCACTACTGGCTGACCTGGGATCCAACACTGAGCCTCCTAAATCCATGCTATAACGCTTACATTAAAAGTAAACATTTCGTGGTGTGCATAAGGGCCCTAGCCTTGTATCACATAAGCAGCCAAAATATCCCAATGTCTTATTTTCTGAGGAAATGTGTCTGCCTCCCCCAAATGTGGTGTGGGGGCAGCAGACAGATCCAGCTTCCAGTGGTGAAGCAGTGAGCAAGTGTATGCTCATCTGACTAGAAATCTGCTTTTGTCCGGGCACAGTTGGGGCTGGAGTAAAAGTTGGGTTTCTGTTAGACAGAATGGAGTAAGGAGCATAGTTATACTAAATATTCTTTGTTCTTTATTTAAAATTCATTTAACTGGGAGCTCTGCTTTTTTTTTTTTTGAGAAGGAGTCTCATCCTGTCGCCCAGGCTGGAGTGCAGTGGTGCCATCTCAGCTCACTGCAAGCTCCGCCTCCCGGAGCCTGAGTTCACGCCATTCTCCTGCCTCAGCCTCCCGAGTAGCTGGGACTACAGGTGCCCGCCACCATGCCCGGCTAATTTTTTGTATTTTTTTTTTAGTAGAGACGGGGTTTCACCATGTTAGCCAGGATGGTCTCGATCTCCTGACCTTGTGATCCGCCTGCCTCAGCCTCCCAAAGTGCTGGGATTACAGGCGTGAGCCACTGCACCCGGTTGAGCTCTGCATTTTTATTTGTCAGAACTGGCAACTTACAGTGCACGTGGCACAAAGGAGATAGATTTGAGGGCTAAGTAGGAGGTCAAGGTGGTGAGACTCTGGGATAACTTTGGAATGGGTGGGATAAAAATATAGGAGAAGGAGAAATGGCAAGTGGATAGATGATGATGTTGTTGCCAGGGCCATCTGGACCTCATGTATCATCTTTGTACAACTAGAGAATGATGCCCTCTTGGTGGACACAACCCTGTGGACGAAGAGCCTTGGTGGACACAACCCTATGGACGAACAGCTTGGTGACCTGTGTGCAAGCTGGATTTAAACCCCCATGTCCTTGTGCAGTGAACTTCTTACATGACTGTATGCAGCAGTCTTGTGCTATTCACTGAAATGAGGCATGCTGGGGATGTGCAGATTTTTTGGGAGGAGGTCAATGTTTGGCAATTTGACATTGAGGAACTTGTGACAATGGCAGAACTGTCTAGGGTATAGCTGGGCATATAAACCTGGGGTCTGGATATATGCATGTGAAAAATAAAGCTGCTGTGAGAAATGTGTATTCTAAGCCTGTGACATGTAGATGTAGGGGCTAGATGTAAATTACACAATTGGAATATCCATCCCGAACTGAGCAATGAGCTCAAAAAGACCCTTAAACCTCAGGGCCTGAGCAAAAGCAAATTCTCCTTGGGATCACTTCACTTCAGGGCACAGGGGACTCCCTAGAGAACACCAACAAAGGTGAACCCCTGAGAAAGAACTATAAAACCACAATTGGATCCACCAAAGGAATTGTCAACGGATGAAACTCCATTAGCTTTTCCCAGTGCTGGTTGAGGAATTTCTAAATAGGAAGGAGGGGCTTATGGATGGCAATCTGGTGGATGGGGTGGGGCTAGAGGACCTGTCTTGAAATG